CTCGGCCCGCCCTGAGACGAGCCTAGCCCTCTTCTTCGTAGGTGCTGTCGGCCTGCATTAGTGCTCAGAGCTGCCGGTAGCTCTTGAGGTGAGCCCTCGGCTGGGTAAGCGTGGTGGTCGGGAGGGCTGGGAAGGCGAGTGGCGTTCACTGGTTAAAGCCGGGCTCTCCCCTGAGTGCAGGAGGAGAGGGCTTCTGGAGCTGTGACCAGAAGGTGGCTTAAACAAAGGAAGTGCTGAGAGCTGTGGCTGCAAGTCTTGCTTTGACTTTGTGCTTAAGCTTTTGTCTTCAAGCTATACCAGTCAAAAGTAGCTTTTTCTGCAGATGTCTCTTGAATGAGGAATCACTTGCTCACCTATGTAATGGCAGTGGTAAGCTCTAGGTGGGAGCTGCCTGGCTGTTCCTAACAGTGCCGGGGAGTGCTCTGATCTGTTGTCTCAAATGGGACTGAAAACCAGTAGTGAAGTAAGCTACTTGTATAGGGTGTTTGCTAATGGCTTCTTTTTCTGGTGAAAAGATGTCTATGCTAGTAAAATAAGTGGTATTACTCTTGGTTGTTCAAGTGCTACAAGCTGAGCTAAGGACTGGATTGCTAAGCAAGGAGATGTGCTCTTTTCTTATACTGAGGAAACAGTTAATAACTACGAAGAAGTGACAAAGCAATCCAAAGGTATTAGATCTTCCTGTATAGGGTTGCTAGTGAAACCTTGCTACTTTCCCAAACTCATACAAGCTCCTTCAGAACTATGGACCTACCATGTGTGCTAATAATGCTTTCAAACTTAAGGGTCTGTAGCTAAACTATTATGAAATGGTGTGAAGTATGGGTTTGTTCCCCCTCCTTGAGGGACCAGTCATATGGCAGCTCTGTCTTTAATGTGGCTTGTTTAAAAAGTGTGCTGTGGTGGAAGAAATGACAAGAATGATTTCCTCTGTTTCCTGTGTGGGCTCTCCAGAGTGGTCTCATCAACCTGAAGATGGCAACGCTAATCTTTATTGATAAGGAGAATGGTGAAGTTGGTGCTACTAAGAATCAGCTAAGGCTCCCTTCAGGATCTTGTGCGTATAGACTGCCCTAAGCCAGTGGGGGATCAAGGGAAGTGCATAAAGCATGTTTTGTTATTCACTGTTTTGAACACTAATAGTTTTCTGTTCTTACATCTAGTTATCTAACCAATCCTGCTAAGCACATAATTACTATAAAAATAACACTGTGCTTTTGTCATAGATGGGACTTATGCTCCTGAGTTATAAATGGTGAAAAATGATTTTTATGGCAACTAGTTTTCCAGCACACACACTTACTGAAGCAAGCTTTAGGGTTGATACGGTGCTAAAGCTTGCTTTTTTCTTCCCCCACTCTCCAGCAAAAGTCTTATCTGAAAGAACACAAGTTAACACTCCACTTCCTAAAAAAACAATCAATACATCTCCAGCCACATCTCACTCTGTCAGAAAGGTTCTTGGAAATGTGAATAGAACTGAAGATGTCACAAGCAAGATGGAAAAGATAAGACAGAAAAATCAGCCTTGCACTGCTAACAAAGTGAGTATGACACACTTCTACAGGGGGGAAAAATACGTAGTTTGCCTGCTGTTGTGGCTTAACCCTGGCAGGCAGCTAAGCACCACACAGCTGCTTGCTCACCCCCCTGCCCTCAGTGGGATGGGGAGAGAATTGGAAGGGTAAAAGTGAGAACTTGCTGGTTGAGATAAAGACAGTTTAATAATTAAAAATTTCAAAGTAAAACAAGACTAATTTCTTAACCTTCAGATGACTGATGCCTTGCCAGTCCCTGAGCAATGGCAGCCCTGGTGAATTTCCCCACCAGTTTTCATTGTTTAGCATGATATCATATGTTATGGAATATCCCTTTAGTCAGTTGGGGTCAGCTGTCCCAGCTGTGTCCCCTCCCAACTTCTTGTGTACCTGCAGTCTACTTGCTGGTGGGGTGAGAAGCAGAAAAGGCCTTGACTCTGTGTAAGCACTGCTGAGTAGCAACTAAAACATCTCTGTATTATCAACACTGTTTTCATCATGAATCTAAAACATGGCATCATATGAGCTTCTAGGAAGAAAAATAACTATTCTAGCCAAAACCAGTACATCTACAGAGGTACAGAAAGTACAAGAGTTTAGGGGGTACCTAATGGCAAAGAAGTGCCTCTAGAGAAAACAGTCTGAGTTAATATCTTGGTCATATGTTAAGCATCAGGAGTTTAATATTATGAGCCTAAATGTTCTAGTGCAGTGATTTGTTGCCACCATATATAGCACTGTACTACATAAACTCAACTGAAGCATTTGCCCATCTCCAGCTGCTTTGTGTTGAAAGTATTAGAATTTAGGCATAACTGAAGACTGTATGGCAGGTATTCCTTTCTGTAGACCTGTATAGCACAGGAAAGCCAGGACAACAGTACTACAATGGGAAACTACAGTAGCTCAAATAATGTGACTTTCTCTTTAAGATTACTGAAAAGACTGCTGGATTAGAAAGCTGTGATGCAGTGGCTGAAGATGACTGGCCAGAAATAGAAAATATGTTTCCTTTTGATCCTCGAGGTAAGACCTATTAGTGTAATTATGATCCTCGAGGTAAGACCTATTAGTGTAATTATTAAAATGAACAATCAGGCTTTCATGAGTGTGATGTAAGACTTTGGCCAAGCTATTCTGGCAAACAAGCTAGCACTGCATTTCTTGAGTCCTTTCTTAAACATAAGGGTGCTTGCTACTTTTGAAATACCATCTCATTCTTGTCTAAATATTTCTAATTGCATTAGCTGTGCTCCAGATATGTAGTAGTCTGAGTCCATTTTTATGGTGGTAGGAAACTAGTTTCAAGTAACCATGCTATAGCCTCATAATTCATTAAAGGGCAACTAGCAGACAAATATTCAAAGGAATACTTCAGCAGTACTGAAAGGTAGACTGAAGAGTGCATGGCAAGATGGTAATTTGTAACTGAAGAGATTCCTACCACTGTAGGATATAATAGTTGGAGATGAAACTTCTAAAGCTGTTCTTAGAATATCTGCAATGGGCTGTGCATCTCAGTCCTTCAAAGTGTGTCCTTAAACCATCCCGTTCATGTGGAAGTGAGTGTGCAAAGACTATTCAGTGTTGGTGAAATATATGCTGTGCTTGATGAAGTTGACTTAGTGTAGTGATTGGAAAGAAATTACTAAAAGCTCCTGCTTTACATTAGCAGTTATGTTATGCAGTCTTGTCTTCTGATAAGTGCTAGTGTATGGGATTTTATGGACAACTAAGGTGTAACTGCAAATAAATACCCTATAAGAGGACACTGTTGGATTGTGGTGTTTTGGATCTGCTCCCACGTCATTTACTCTAGGAGAATTTGTAGCTTCCTAGGCTACTACTACTGTATGCTGTTACTAAACTACAGTGTGTCTTTCTCAAACAGGCTTTGAGAGTTTTGATCTTCCTGAAGAGCACAAAGTAAGCAATATCAACCTGTGTGGTGTTCCCCTCATGATATTTGAAAGGACATATGACAGATGTGTGAACATGGTTCCTTCACCTGTGAAGATTGAAGAGATTTCATGGGAGTCCAGTAAGTGGAAACTTAGCATGAGTTTCAGTATGTGCAGTGCTCATTAGTGGTTTGGGAGGGAAGCTAGTTGGCTGCAGTAGTGAACTGCCACTGTTGTCCTACTACCACAATAGCACACTAGTATCAGCTTAACTATACACCAAAAACTGTTTGAATTTAACTGGTCAACCCTGCTGGTACAGGTAGTGGTCTCAAAGTGATGTTGCTGAGCAAACTCTTGCAGTGCATTACTAACTGATCAGTTATGTGGAATTGGTGTATGCAATCAAACAATATTTCTCTTAGTCATTCAAGAGGCTTATGCTAATTGACTGGGAGCTAGCTTATGTTACAGTATAAATTCTGGGTTTCATAAGAAACTGATTTGCTCTATTTCTTAATTTTCAGACTTGCTACAATCAACTGCTGACTTCCTTGCTACCCTGGATGAGATCATTGACATGCCACCCCCAAATTATGACCTTTAATGCATATTCTGAAGCTTCTATAGAGTTCAAATTTCATGTAGTTCTGTATTTTAATAAAGATTAATCTAACCTGTGTAATACTGGACTTGTCTATTTTCAGTAGACCCAAGATATAGGTAGTAAAATAGTGCTTTGAAAAGGAGGCTATCTGACAAGCAATTAAAGCAGAGCCTGGATAAGCTTCTAAGCAAGACTATAATTCACTGTTGTGAATCATATCCAGGAGTTGGTACCTGCTGATTAGACTATGTGGTCATGATAGGTTAAGAGGCCCTTCTGACCTCAGTTTGCATAACTTTATCCTTTATCCATTAAACATGCAAGGGTTTAAAACTAATCTGTATATCTGGAGTGAATTAAGTACTAGAGCTAGGACTCTCCTGGCATTTTTCCTATCTTGGATTTGTTTGCTTTTCAGAGTGGTTGTCTAAGATTGTATATGTTGGATTCTTATGCAGCTGTAGACTACTTTTAATGGTCACAGCATTATGTGGCTTTCACTGCTGAGTACTGTTTGTGCTCTGTGAGGAAAGCCTGGTGGAAGCCCATCCTTCAAATTATAAGCATGCAGTTCAGTAATCTTTTCATTCAGTAATCTTTTTTTACTGCATTCAGTAATCTTTTCTCTTGCATGGTAATGGCCTCAACTCCTGTTCTTCACATAAGACAAGTCGGGTGCAGAGGTGCTCAGCCTTCACTTAGTTAAACTGCTTTTATAGTTCCTGGAAGTACTCAGATCTAGTTGCATTACAACAGCCTGAGCTGCCTCCAGCTTTTAGCTCATCCTTAACAGGAATCACAATGCTGTGCCTGTGTTCTGGTCATCTGCTAAGGTGGAAGGCCTTTCTGTTCTTCCATGATGCACCTGAGCTCTGAGCAGGAAGAATTGCTTGTCAGGTTTACCATTAGTATGTTGTGGCACTATGTAACTGCAAGCAGTGGCAAGACCAGCTTTTCAGCTCACTCTTGCAGTAGTGTCTGAAGTAGGAAATGTGCTGCAATGACTGCAAGTTGATTAAAAGATGAAAGTGCTCTAGTTAAAGAATGGGGTTAATTTGGCATGGGTCAGTGCTGCATCCAACAGTTCTGCTTCTTGGAGGTGCACCAGGGCTGTAACCTGACTGCATGTGAAGATGAGATGTGAGTGTGTAACTATACTCCTTTCATGCCATTGTTCCTATGAAACCTAAAAATGCGGGTGGCAAAGGAGTCCTTGTGTTTTCCAATCGGTTGTCTGGTTTGCGGGTGCTAGAGGGAATGCATTTGCACTGCTGTGATGACATAAGTAATGAGGGCTCCTTTTACTCTTGAAAAGGCTAACAGACAGAGCAGAGAATACCCATTTTCACTGTTTCCTGGTTTTGGATGTTTCCTTGAGACATGTTTTGTTTCCTTAATGCTTTTTACTCATCAGCAGTAGATGGGTCTTTTGGAATTGTCCTGTTGCAAATTCTGACCTTTAATCTGGTAGAACTAGAAATTTGCTGTTTCTGAATTATCAGACATCTGACAAAGTGAAAACAGACATTCATTCTGTTTTTTCCTCAAACTTGTCAGGGTATCAGCCAAAGTGTTAAATTGTAATGAATTATATGATAGCTGGTCTTTATCTCCAGTTTCTTGTCTTTGGTTTGAAAATTCCGAGGAATATCAAACTCAACAGGGGGGAAAAAAAAAACCCCATGATTAAGGTAATTATGTAGAGAAATTTCAGGTTTTGGCTGATCCTTAATTGCATTTTTAATAGGTTTTGATTCCGAAATAACTTGGCCATCTCTGCTGAGATTGAAGTTTGATGGGTATAGCCTACCAGCCTCAGGAGTTAAGCTGTAGTAACCATAAAAGAAAGTGACAAAATGCATCTCCCTTTGACATTTTGTCTTTACCAGTTCAAATGATTTGGGAGAAAACAGTCGAAGTCCAATTTTACAGAGAAATGCCTGTAACTAAGGCACTGAAACTGGTTACGCAGTGCCATCACGTGGCCAGTTGTTATGCAGCCACACAGGTAAAAAGTCACTGGTATGCAAAACACCAGATAACATGGTATGAGATACATTTATGTTGATTTAGTGTCATATCCTTAAGGTATGTTGTAACTTTTTGTGTGTACAAACAGACATCTGGTCTGCAGAGAGATGCTAGTGCTTTGTATGTGTTATGGAAGTTTATCATGATAAAAATAATTCTCTTTTGTTGTATTAAAATACTCACTGTGATCAAGCACCTAGATCTATTATTTGAACCTCCAGAAATAAGCTTTCTGTGCTATGTCCACATGTGTGTAGATACGCATACATGTCAAAACACTTAAAAACATGCTTGCTGGTGGTAGGATTTCATACCAAAATGGATGAGCATTTGTATAATGTTTGTAAAGGTGATAATTAAATGATAGGCCTCTTGGTACTGACACTTTGATCTTGAAGCCCAAAAACTTGTTACTTGTGGGGACAGTGGAATGGGTGTGCAGAAAGCACTATGAGTCAGACTTGGGTATATTGCTGGTCTGTCTGCATGAGAATGAATGCTGCTGCAGTATAGAACACAAGGTAATAATGCTAGAATAAACTGAATGAGTTCAGACTTGTGTAATCTTATTTTACTTAAATTATTAAATCCTTTCAAAGTCTAAGGGAAAAAAGTCATAGGTTTTGTGTCCTTTCCTTCACCCACCCCCAATTCTCTTTTTTCTGTAAAATTATGAAAGGGTGTTTTGGCTGCAGAGGAATACTTTCTGTAGGATCCTTTTTTGGGCGTTTCATCTGATTTTCTACAAATACTGTCTCCTATAGCTGCTTGCAAGCAACACTAACCAGTTGAAGAAAGAAGCAAGCAAGGTTTTCAAGATTTTATAAATAAATAGTTGACATCAAAAAGGTATGTTTCATTGTGTAGCCTGTCTGAGCCAAAACAGGAGTGTTGCTAGGAATCTTGTGTATGGGAAATAAGTCTGTATTCAGCAATACAATGCGAAAAATCAGTTTTCTTTATACTACCACTACAGCTAATTAAGATTTAGTGTTTAAAGATTTATTAGCTTTTTAAAATGTTGGCCGTGATCCTTTTAGTTTAAAAGATTAAAAATAAATCAATGCTAATGTCCAATCTCAAACATATCCATGACAAAACCCAGAGTTAAGAAGTCTCTATAGCAGATGAATGAGGAAGTTAACTTCAATTTTGGTTAGATGTTAATTCTCAGCCCCAAATTTTAGGTGACTGGGAATATTTTTGTTTCCTACAGTAGTCGACCTTATCTGGGGCTTTTTGTTCTCGTGATTTCTGGTTAATGCGGATCCAAGTTTTTGCTTTTACAATGCTGTATTTTATAAATATTCATCAGAAAGATCCATTTGTTTCGGCTGGTTTTTATTTTCCCCATTTCATGTACTTTCAACTCAGCTGGCTGGGGTTAAAGGGAAATACATGTTCCTGTGACTTGCACAAGAACAAAGCTGTGATGGGACTCAATCTGTGGATTGAGCTTCCTGTTGTGCAGTGACTTGAGATCATGGTCACAAAAGCATAGTCTGCTATTTAGAAAACATCAACTGTCTTAGCCTTGGAGCTGCAAAACTAGCTGGTGTCAGCCCATGAAATGCTGGCTTCCTCACAGGGAGCCTGGTTGTTGGGAATTTTGCACTGCTTCATGCCATTTCAGTTAGGTGTTAACACTGACTTCTACTGGTGACTGAAAAATCAATTTGCTTAACTGTTTTAATGTTGATATAACATGCAGCTTTTTATACTTATAAAGTTTTATTTTCTCTTGGGGTGTTGTCAGGAATAGATGCAACTTGAGTTCAAAATGGTGTCTGAGCACTACCCTGCACAACAGAAGTCCTATTTAAAACTGCTTGTAATGTTTTGGTTTACTTGCTTGATAAGTTTGCACTTCCTGCAAAGATCCAAGATATTTGGGATTTTAAATGTATGGCTGTGATGAAAATGAATGCTTGCTTGGTGGCTTCTTGTCAGTTTGAACAAGCCTTAATAGGCCAGTGTAACTGTGTACCATGATTAGGAAATCTGGATTGTAACCAAGTACACAGAGCGGGTACCTTTTTAGTTGGTTATTGCTTTGTAAAGCATCTTTGACAGCATTCTGGCTGTGAGAATCACTTTAAATCCTTACCTGAATTCCTGTAAGGAGAACTTGGAGATTCATATAAAAATAATCTCTTAGCAGGCTGAGTAAAATTACTTCAGTGCACACCAGATAATTCATCCCATTTGTAATGTTCTGGCAGTGGGTGGCACCATGGTAACAGCATGTATTACAGCTTCTCACTCCCGCAACCTGACAGCTGTGGTGTGATGATGTTTGCCTTTGGTACATCATGCACAGTGCAGGCATCTGTAATGGTTTTCATTGCTTCATTAATGTGAAATGGAGGATAAGAGTCAGCACTGAGGAATTCAGTGTGCCTTTACCCTGTGACTACAGGGAATAGTATATCAGGCAAGGGCATTTTTTTCTTTCGTTGTTTAAAAAGAACAGAAATTAGAAGCCTGGAGGCAATTGGTCTCTCTAGGGTTAGAAAAGCCATGAATCTTGTAACTTTTAGTTTCAATGCAGTTCTATTAGTGTTAGCGAAGTACTGTATAGAATACAATAATGGCCCTCTAACTAGCCCCAAAGTGGTACTCACTGTGCTCCAAGAGACACAGGCACTGATCAGATCAACATGTCTATAATGAGATTTATATACACAATATATATTTAATAACTGGTTGTTTGGGATCCAACTGTGCAAGCATGTGTTTTTGCACATAACATTGCAAAGCATGTTAAGAAAAGCATCATAGATAAATTTACTCCTAACTGCAGTTTGGGAGAAGTTAAAAGCATGATGGGCCTGTTGTGCTTGAATGATCTACAAAATTAGAGGGAGAAGTTATAAAATGGCACTAATGTGTATTTTCTTGCAGTCAGATTATGAAGAATGCCAGGATGAAAAATTATGCAAACAACTTACTGAGGTGGGTGTTTCGTG